GGTTGATGATTTCGTCCATGTTTAAGACAGAGATGGTTGATGAAGTGCTTTAGAGAGGTCAAGAGTCAAAAGACAACGTTTAATAACAGAAATATGCAAAATCAAATCGTCCCCAAAACCTGCAACAGTTACATATGTCAAAGAAAGAGGTGCTCTTCCTTTGTCATCACCGATGTCCGTCTTTTGGACTTTGGTGTTTACATGTGTGGACGACGTGTCCACTCACCGGTTCTGAGGCGAGAACAGGTACACAGACCACTCCTCTCTGGATTCACACCAGTCTGGCTTGTACACCTCCATCATCTTCTGGATCCGGAAGCACAAACTCTTCAGAGGAGGAGAAAAGAGATGAGAAGAATCACCAGACTGGTTTTTGTTTTTTGTTTTGTATTGATTGTGCCACATGCATCAACACCCACTAACTACTGCACGTCCAATACTTAGAAAATGATTGAATACATTCACCAGGATGGCTTCAGGGGGTTTCTGGAATGCTTGGAGAGTTCATAAAGTAACTCACTCATTTCCGCACCAACTTCCATAATGATTTATGTTTGATTCGGTTTTGCAATATTATCTGACAATTTTTGGGAAAACTATGAAGGATATGTCATTCATCCAGCACTAGCAGCCTCTCTGAGTGATGCCCTGAAGCTCCTCTCCCATTTCCTCAGTAAGAATAAAAGAACATTTAAGCAATTAACTCCTCCAGCGTCTCTCCTAAACCTCGAGCATCTATTATTGTGTTCCTATAGCTGTAACAGAATAAAGTGGCAACCTATCATCTTAAAAAACAATTTTTATACTGTCTGTTGTTTATATTTATAAATCATCTGTGAATGAAACAAGAGTCACTATTAGCTGAACTGCAGAGATCCAGAGGTGCACCACTCACATAGTCTGTTTCCTCATCGAGGTCAGCTCTGTCCTTGCGTGCGTTGACTTGAGGGAAAACCTCAGCCATCAGCTGAGTGTGGGGACCCGGCGCCTTGCCGTTACAGTCCCGGTGGTCCACGCCTAAACCACTACAACCACCGGAACCTCCTGCAAGGGACCCCCCTGCCCCGGACCCACTTCTCCTCCCGGGGTCTGGGTGGATGGGGGGGAGGCACGGGGGCTGTCCGCCTGCCCGAAGCAGCTCTGGCAGCTCCAGAGAAAGAGCCCGTCGATCCCGCCTCGCAGCGAAATGTCTGGAGAGGAACAGCGGTGGCGGGAGTGGATGATGAGGGGGCAGGGGGTGGTGGGAGTGGGGCGGGTGAGAAAGAAGGGACTCCTGCTCTGCGGCGTAGGTGTAGGAGTGGGGGGAGCGAGTGCTGCGCACACGGAGGCTGCCTCCCACCAGAGGCGCCCCACCGAACCCATAGCTCCTCCGACCCAGGCTGTTGGAGCTAGACCTGCAGAGCCGAGGAGATTAAAAGTACAATTAAAAGCTAATAAATATTCATGAGGTAAGCAACACTATTCCGTATATTAAGCATTCAGTCATGAAGCTAAGAGGAGCATAAAACAATGGCGAAAGTTGGATGTTTCCACGAAGGTAATTAAGGCTTAATGAAGGTATTAAGAATTCATTAAGGCAATAGCTGAAATCAGTGGCTGAAAGTAAATCTAATTGTCTACCTGCGACTCCATGCAGACTGTGGAGGGATGGGACGCCCCCAGTTGTGGTAGTTGGAACTGCGACCATGGCGCTGCAACAGAAACACAGCAGTTCATAGCAACAACTGAGCGACTGCATA